AATAAACATAATAAACTATATGGTTACCTCAACCCTTCTATTCGATAGAAAGGATTATCTGTGTAACTTCAACCCTATTCAAACTCCTCTCTCGTAATTCATGTGTCACACACTATAATCTACAAATTGGCATTCAGAGTCAATTTCTCTATTGACCAAAAGTGCCAATTATCGCATTTAAATACTTAATAACTATCAAATTTACATTTCACACTCGATTATGCACATTACCATTGATCACCCCTCATTTCAAACTTTAACATTTTCTAACAATTCTCTCTCACTACTCTCTTTCTCTCTAGATTAGGGCAATTCTTTCCTACAACTTTAAAACTTTATCCTTTCGACTTAAACCAGTTACAAAGCACTAGTTTAACTCAAAAGAACCTTTTTACTAATATTTGGTAAGAAATTAACTCCTTAAAACTTTTAAATTCATTTTCTCATTAGTTAAAACTAACAGAAAATAGGGTAGATTCGGAGGTTAAGGTAATACATGACTTACCCAATAAGTAACGAGTCAGAGATACCGTCCTTACTCTCGATTTAGCTTGCCCTAGCACAGCCTTTTATCTTCTCCACACCAAACCTCTCCTCCCACATTTCTCCCTTTTGTTTTTCGAGTTGGACACATTCCTATTAATCTAATTTCTGCTCCATGCGCCATAGCGCATCTATCACCCACCGCAACGTGTGGCATAGTGAGGGCTCATACACTCTATTCAGGAACTCTGCTTTTCTACTCATATCTGTTCATATAATATTTCAATGAGTCAATATAACACTTCACCACTCAGAACCCTACTCCCACATTAAATCACTAATTCATTCCTAATCAGTCATTAACGCAGGATTAGAAATTTAAGATGTTGCAATTAACATAGAACATTTTAGTCTAATTTTTTTATTTTCAGACATAATTACTATATTAACTAACTTTTTTAAATTGTGTAATATATTTTTTTCTTATATATAGAAACAAAGGGAGTATATGATAAAGTAATTATATACAATTAATGGAAAAATATATTACTGGTAAAAAAATGGAAAAATATATTGGTTAATTTCATGATAATATGTGAAAAAGGAGACAGTGCAGCATTCTAACATGACTTTCAATATACAATTGGTTTTTATTTTTTATAATTAAAAGAAGCAAAGTTATTGTGCAAGGTAAAAAATCCTTATGAAAATTTTTTAAAAAACAAATGTCCATGCCAAGTTCTTTTTATCCTTTAAAAGATTGAGGGTGGTAGTTTTGTAATTATTTCTTTTTTATTTTACAATTCAATACCTTAAAAAACTTGAGAGTATTACCACCACCCACTCAAACTAATCTGAACATTCATTGTGTGATATTGTTATCAGGGATGGATCTAAAGTCTCATACATTGGGAGAAAATTTTCAAATCATATAAATTAAACTAAATATAAAGAAAGTAAAAAATATGGGGCAAACACCTCTACATGCTCCTTAGATTAACTCACATTTATCTCAAAAATATCTTTTAATATTTTTGTTTAATATGATTATATATTTTAAAATTTAAATTCAAAATCTTTAAAATAAACTGATTCAATACCATCAATAATTGAACCATGCATCTTTAGATGGTTTAGTAATTATTTTTTAAATATTTTTTTTTATCATACAAACATCACTTTACCAAAATGTCTTATATTATCTTGTTTTCCTTTCACTAAGCACAGTTTTCTATGCCTATTTTGGTGTCATTTCACAAAGAGAACTTTATTCTTTAGGCTCCGTGCATCGAGCCCGCTTGTCCAGTTTCTTTTTAAAAAAGGATGGAAAAAAGATTATTGCCTCTTTTTTTCGCGCCAAACTTGAGCTCCCGCCTTTTCTTTTTGGTTTTTCAACGACTTTAATAGTTTTAAAAAATTTATAAATAGCTTTTCAAATGTAACTCAACAAGTCAACCCCAAGTTTATCAAGTACACGCCCGAAAATTAAATATTAAATTATACAGTAATTTTTTTTATTAAATTTTACGATATAATCATAACATATTAAAAGTTTCAATCAGATAATATTAACTTACAAAATATATTATATGCTTTTGCCCTCACATGGGTTACAAGCTCGCACAACCCAGCTCAACAAAACTTTCTTTTTCGTTGGCTCAATATAACAAAAAATAATAATTTTTAAGATATAAAATGATATCTTCATTCTTATTTTATTAAGAAAACATTATAATTAAGTTTCAAAACTTTCACTTAATGAAAATTAAATCCTATAATATTGTACCTAAACTAAGTTGTAAATGTTAAAATCCACTGTCTCCAATCTCATTTATAAGTCACATATTAAAATGTTCATTTAGTCTTATTTATATGTTATGGTATAACTTTTTAGATAATATTTAAAAAGTATTTTTATAATTATCCTTTATAAGAGAGAAAAAGTAACATAACATTACTTTTAAAATTTATTATATAAAGACATATTTAAAATCCTATATATTTTATTTTTATATTTTTTTGTGTTAATATTAATGATATTGATAGAAATGATTTATAAAAAAAATTGAAAGAATATGCTACCAATCAGGAAGACAGGAAATGACAGTTTGGTTGTAGTCTGCAATTGAAAGTCACTTCATTGCACCTTATATTTTCGCAAAAATTGTAAAAGACCTAATTGTCGTGAAATAGAAATTCTAATCTAATTGTCATTAATTCTCCCTCTTATTAATTAATAAAATGTGGTAAAAATTTATAAAACGAATTTAAAATAATTTTAAAAAGTACAGCACTTTTTAACGATACCAAACATAATGTTGGACACGTCTTCTTCCACATGGAAAAATTTTATGCTCTTTGTTGTCATTTTTTTTTTTCGGCTAGAATAGATATCAACATATTATTCATATGAGCACATACATAAATATAAACTTTATAATTTATCTATTAAAAAAGAATAGAATATTTGGTAGTCATCAGAATCATCCTTTGAATTTTGACATGAAGCTTCCGAAGAATTTACCTATAAAGCAGCTGATGATAAGGTCACCATGGGGTTCGTCATTCGTTGTGCATCACCGAGGACTAAATTGAATAGGTCTCCTTTATTTTCCATGTTTCTCCATAATTACAATGGGCCAACCTGTACTGTACAGCTCTAAATAATTCTTTTTCAGTATCTCAAACCAGCTAGATGGAGGCATGGAGCCAATATTAAGTAAAAGAAATTTGATGTTCCAAGTTCAAAATATAAGTATTTTTCATAAGCTAACCTTGATTCAAACTATAGCAACCTAAATTTTTTTACTCATTTTATTCCTTATATTTATTAACCTGAGTTCTTTTGCAGAGTTATCTTTCACTCATCATGAAATACATTAGTAAGTAAAGACAATGATAAAAAGAAAAAATATATATATTTTTATAAAAATAAAAATTTTATTAGTATGTGAAATTTTTTCTAACAATAATTTATATTTTGAACTGGAGAGAGTATCTCTTAAAAAAGATTTTGAATTCAAGTCTTACAATAATAATAATGATAATTATAAAATAGGTTGAATTTTCGTTGAGAGACCTGCTCATATATATTTAGTACCTGACGGTCATGCTTGTCCTCTAGGAGGACATGTGCATTATACTTTCTCAATTTCAAATTATAAGGTAACGTTGGAAGAATTTTATTATTTTAAAATATAAAATAATTTAAAAAAAAAGATTTTATTAGTGCTATTTTTCTAATACTTTCAAGTCAAAAGAGAATTAAAATAATTATAAATTTAAAGTTATATTAAATGAATGATATTTTTTAAATTTTTATTTTTATTTTAAAAAAGTAAGCGTGTAAAATGTCATTTTTGAATTTTATTAGCACACATGATCTTACCGCAAATTATTTTATAATTTGTGACAAAGAAAGTTAAAGATAATAAAAAAAACAAATTACATGGACAAGACTGACTCCTTTTAATTTTAAAACTTAACCTGACTCAAATTAATTGATAGTGTCAAATGGTTGTAAAAATTTGTACATTATATTAAATATTAATATAAAATATTTGAAAAACATGTTATCATGCCTAACTGATCACTTATAAATAATAATCAAACTTCTATATGGAATTTAAATTTCATGTACAAATGCATACAATTTTTTTTTATACAACTATTTAGTGGCATTGAATCAAATTCCAATATTGTCGTCAAGTTTGATTCGAGATATTTCTTTCAAAAAGTTTCCTGTATTCACATAAATTTAAAATTGGGAATTTGTCTTTAAGCGGCCTTTTTCATCAGGAGCATCACATGAGCAAATTACTCTCTCCTCCCAACTTATAAAATATTATTTAATACAAAATTATGCATACTAACAAAATTCATCAAATATACTTTAAAATTTTAATAAAACTTTATTTTATCAAAATATACTTTATATTTAAGATACAAAATTACATTAAAAAAATATCATATAAACTATACAGACCATAAATTTTGATATGTCAAGATGTTCCAGCCAATCTTCTCAGAACCAGATCGGATATTGAACCGAAAAAGTTAACGGTTCATGGTTCACATGGTTCAACCGGTCAGACCAATGGTTAAACCAGTGATGCAATAATTAAATTAAAAAAATTATATATGTATATAATAATATAAATATAAGAAATACATATGAAATTGCTACTTAATTTAAAAAACTAAATATTTTAAATTTATCATGACTTAATAAGCCACATGATACAATATAATATCAAATGATTAAAAAAATTATTCATTTTTTAAAAAAATTTTATAAAAAAATAATAAAATTTTTTTTTAACAGTCTGATTTTTGAAAACTAAATCCAATTCCTAGCTTGATTTCAATTCTTAGTCTGATCGTTGGATCGAAACGGTTCAACCTCTAAAACAATTTTCTCATATAAATCAAATTAAAAATCAGATCGATTGACGGTCAAATAGGTTCGACAGTTCAGTCTGCTCCAATGTTAAAAATACTGCTTGAGGGGTTCCACATTCGGGCATGGGGCATTAAAGTAATTGTACTGTTCTTTGTTTTTCGGGGGGTGAATCCACAGTAAATATGTCTATATATCCTGAAAAAACTTCAACTCCGATTTGAGAGGTCGCTACCGGAAGGACGTACCCAATACAGATGATGAAAGCCACGATGGTACAACGAGCGGTGGAAGGCCTAACGTTATTTGCGGCCAGAATACTAAACACGGTGGTGGTGGTGCTGGTGAAGATGCACAGCACATGGTCTCCGTCGTCGTCTGCGGCGGCGGAGGACGATGATGATGATAATGATACTGGGTACGGTCTGAGCTGGAGGTTAGCTGTGGAAGCAAACAATGTGGGTCCATGGCAAACAGTGCCGGCAAGATGCTACAGACACGTTCAGAAGTACATCATGGAAGGACAGTACCAGAATGATGTCCAACTCATCGCCGACCAGATTCTCAATTACGCCCGCGAAATCCCTCTCTCCTCCGACGGCTTCGACGCCTGGGTTTTCGACGTCGACGACACCTGCATCTCCAACATCAACTATTACAAAACTCTCAGATTTGGGTTCGTTCCTTCTTCTATATATAAATACATATATTCCAAAACCCCCAGTAATTAGCATCTTCAGAAGATGAGTATATATTATATACGACTCCGTGCAATACAAGAGACTAAAGATCTCAGAGCTTTAATTAAAATTATCGCTATGAATTACCAACTAATCCATACAGATTCAAAAATTGTAGGGTTTTAAACAGAAGTGCTTAAATTAATCGAGAATTATAATGGATCCTTCTTCAACTCTCTCTGCTCGTCTGTTGTCCTCTCTGTTCTCGCCATCTTAAAATTGCCTCTGGTTTCAGTGCTCATCATGAAATCTAGGCCATCCAAAACTGAATTTGACAGTTTAGATTTAAAATAGTTAACCTATGATTTTTCTTATAAATTTTTTATTTTTGGTTGCCAGATTGACAATCATAAGGTTATCTTTATTTTAAATTACATGCCTGTTAATTAAAATAATAATATATTTAAAAAGTAAAATAAAAATAAAAATTTATGAAATCAAATCTGGATAATCCAGATTGATGAACAGAAAAACTAAATCCCTTAAAGTCCCAACCATTCACTTGGAGGGAATAGAAGAATTTCCTTGAGCAATAGCTGAAATGAAGAACTGAGATTAGAGTCGCATACATATATGGCCAAAGAAAAGATGTGGTTCTGAATAATCAATTATTGGTGGGTGGGGGTGTGTAGGTGTGACGCATTCGATAAGGTGAAGTTCAAGGAGTGGATAACGAAGGGAGCATGCCCTGCGATCCCATCCGTCTTGAAAGTGTTCAACACATTGACAGAGAAAGGCTTCAAAGTGTTCTTGCTCACTGGTAGAGACCAAGCCATTCTCGGCAACATCACTACCCGCAACTTGCATTCCCAAGGCTTCACTGCTTACTACCGTCTCATTTTGAGGTATTCATTTCTCTCCCCTTTTTTAAAAGAAAAAAACATAATTTATCATATTCTATTATTTTATCAGGTTTTATTTTTAGTTTTTACAATTTTTTTTAGTTTATATAGTTTTAAAAGATTGAGTGGCGTTTGTTTTTCAAATCCATTGGTTTCAATTTTTTCAGTATTTTTTATCCTTATAAAGATTTTTTTTTTTTGGCCAAAGTCTTTATAAGGATTGAAAGCACTTAAAAAATTATAGGTAGTAAAAGTAAAATCTGATAAAATTATAAGGATAAAAAAATATATTCTTCTTCTTTTTTTAACTCTTAAAACATTGAATTAATCACAGTTATATGCCGAACAAAAATTTCAAAACAATAAACTATAAATATCCAGCTAACTTTTTCATCAATTTAATCTTTTGGAACCTAATCATCGCTTTCCCTTTTAGTCCTTTTTTTTTGTGTATACATATTAGTCCGTTTTTTTTTATTACACAATCAGGTATGTCAAATTATTCACTAATTTGAATTTGATGAGCCATATTAAGTTCTGGATGGAGAAAAGCCTTTTCGGCGGATATAACATCATTCCTATTAAATTACTTTAGTTGTACTTTCATAGTTACGTGTTTTATGTGTGTTTAACCTTTCATTTTGTCCATGGTTGGTTTTATCCTAATATAAATATTAGGATGTGTATTTTGGTGTGAGAATATAAAATTTTTTGATTGATTAAATCAAGAATATATATGGAATAATAGGTGTGGATACATAAGGACAAAGTTTACAAACAAAATAATTTGTTATTATTGCATGCGTGCTTCCTGCTCAAAAAGTGGATAGAGACTGCCAAATTTATAAAACACATACACATACATAGGTATGGAAGTTTAACATGACGACAATTTATTAGGCTGGTACAGTAGTTCTTAGATTGAGATTTTTTTTTTTTTTTCTAGCCTCTCGTTCGTGTATATCTTATCAATAAGATAAGAGCCACGTGTATGCTTTGAACTGTATGGTGTGTGAATAATACAAAGTTTATAATAAATTATACTGTTTATTTATAAGTTATAAATGTATCAGCCATTATGATTCATGTAAAATTAAAGTACTACAATCAAATTGATGATCATTGAATAATTCTGGTTGAATAATTAATAATTAAAACCAGAAAGGTCAAGTCAATTGTTATCAAAACTGATCATAAATAAAATATTTTATTAAATTAATAAAAATATCAGTTTAACCGGTTGGGTTAACTTAGTTTATAATATTATGTGTAACTATCTATTTTAATTACAAGTTTGATGCACATATATTTTTTAAATAATAATGGGAATTTAAACTTATCATCTCTATGGACACCCCCTTCATCTTTATTTTCCTAAAATAGTATATTGAGGGGTGAGGTGGCCACCACAATAATAGTTTAATTATTACTCCCTTCGTCTTAAATTATAAGATATTTTAAATAAAATTTTATATATTAATCAATCTCATTAACTATACTTAATAATCTTATTTTTTAAAATAAAAATATAAGCTAATAAAAATATTAATAATTTAATATATTAAAAGAAAAAGAATAAAAATTAATTATAAAAAATAATATTAAAATTATTATATTTAATGAAATTTTAAATTACCTAAAATATTTTATATTTAAAAATAAAAAATCTTTTAAAAGTGTTATGAAAAGAGTAATTTTTATTCATGAAATGCACGAGAAAGAGAGAGTCAGAGAGAGGGGGGAGGAGAGAGAGAGAAAAAAGCATAAAGGGCGGCGTAATTATAGCTTTTTTTCCTTAGAAAGTACAGCTCCCTACCTTAGTCTCTGTCGTCCGGCAGATATCATTTAAAAAAATGCCGACATAGTTCAACTAATAAAAATTAATACAATTAATAAAAATTTAATATATAATTTACAGCCTGTGAGATCAAATTAATCTCACTGACAGAGTAAAGATCTTATTGTAAGATTTGTAAGTAATTCTGCAAACGTTATATGAATTTGGATGCATACTTTAATTTTAATAAATCATCAGGACTCAATTTATTTATATATATATATATATATATATATAAAGCGATGTATCTTTTGTATCAAAGCTGGCCAAATAGGTCTTATTTTGTTCCCACGTCATCTCACATTGGAGGGTCAATACACACTTGTTTGAGAATATATTGACGTGTTCAAAGTTTCTGTTCTTTGTCGGCATGAATTATAAAGTGTGCATGTGTATATAGTCATTTTCATCCACCCAATGAAATTCATCATTTTCAGATTTCATATACTAGTATGCTTATTACTTACTCTAAGTTTGATCAAAAATCGACATAAAAAACGCACATAAGAAACGTGTCCCACTTTAATTACCTTTTACAATCAAAACCTCTTAATCACACACACAATGTTTTTAGGTCATACCTAGATTTTTTTTTTCTTTAGGTTTTACCAAGATGCTTCCTCCATTTCTTGATGCCATTTTTCATGGCCACATGCACTGTCCTGCAATGCATGTGTATCATATTCAATGGTCGGAGAAGGTCGACAAACCTTAAAATACATAGATAGTAATGCATGCTTCGATTCCCACAAATTAAAAAGGTGAATGAAGCCGGCAATAAAATATATATATATATATATATATTGCCGACTTCATTCACTAGTGGGAACTTCGATTATTGACATATAATTTAATACAATGGCTATGTTTTCATATTATAAGTGTTTGTGCGGGCGAATATTTTTAAATCTAGACTAGCTAGCCATTCCCACATTTATTCCTTCTTGTCCACTTTGAACGGTTCAATTTGTATATTCATATTCTATATCAATTGTCTTGGCATCAATAATATATGTGGATATATATTAATTAATTAATTAGTTGGTGGGAATTAGAAAATAGTATGTGGAGGGTTGAAAATAATGGAGCATTATATTAAATTTATTAGTTTAGGTGGATCAGAAAATGTGTGCTGCTTTGAATATTGCTTGCCAACCCACTATTTTAAATCTAGCTACCCATGTTGCTTGTAAGATGAAAAGGGTCATAGGAAATTCTACAGTTTGCTTTTTTCAACCAACTAACGGGATCTCCGCACATTTATGCATTTTATTAATTATTACTTTATTCACTCCCGTTTTTAAAACAATTTTAAAAGTAATTTGATATCACAAAATATATGATAATTTAACAAAATAAGGCTTTATTAGATATAATTTTTCAATATTTCCTTTCCCTTCTTATTATATTCTATCTTTTAAAGATTATTAAATGGAGGTTTTTTAAAAAAATAAGATTATAAAATGTATTTGGTGTGTTTTATTGGTATGTGCATTTTTCTTGAAATTATCTTATAAATTAGGATAAATGGAGTATTAGTTAGTGAAGTGATGGAATTTTTTGATGATACAACTTTTTAGATAAATTTAAACACTTAGAAAAGTTTATTACCATAATAATGAAATTTGGGTTAACTCAATTGATTGAACCGATAAATTATTAAACAAATATCTTAATTAATTTAATAAAATGCTTTGTTTATAATAGGTCTAATCACACTTTGATCCCAATTTTAACTATTAAGCGTTGATTAAATGTCCTTGATGATTCAATGACCACTCTACTTTGAATTTTAAGGACATTGCTTGTTACTAATATAAAATTTTAAAGTAAGAAATTAAGCATCATCAAGAAAACGTGTGTATTATACTCACTTTGTTCTTATATATAAGATATTTTTTAGAAACTTATTTTGTCTTTAAATATAAGGGGTGACAAGAATATTTTTAGGTAATTAGATAATTTTACCCTTGTCATAAAATGGAATAGATTATTAATGATATGTTTTCCCTACCATCATCATAATATTAATTATGATATTATTAGAGATAAAACTAAAAAATTATTGTATTTTTATGTGAATTCAATTAAATAAAAAAATTTTATTATTATGTAAAATTTAATTAAAAATATTTTATATATAAGTACGGAGGAGTATTATATATAACCATCAACCACCCATGATTTGATGTGGAAAAGGTGAAAGGCGTGGTTAATATTTTATAATTGACGTTGCCGTACGTTTTAACTCATTTACCTAATTACCTACTTATTAATTACTTTTTAATTATGGCGTAATTTTGACGAATCTTAATTGTGTGATGTTACAAGTTTGTGCAAGTCAATGTTAGTTCTTTCTCTATGCCGTTTATTTTGACATTTCAGTTTCAAGTTTCAACCCAAAATTATAATACTAATTAATTTTTAAAAAATTAAGAGTCATTAATGAAATTTGATCCCTTATTAAGGCGAAGCTGCGACTGTTGCCTCACGACGTTGTCTCATTCAACGTCCTTCTCACATCACCTGCACCTTAATCAATCACCTAATTAATTAATAATTAATTGTGTGCATCCACATATTACCTTTTTACTGAGTTAATTAGTTAATAATGTAGTTAGTACCTTTAGCCATGATTAAAATTGATTGTCATTAGGAGTTTTTTTTTTTTTGTGGCGCGGCATATTAGGAGGTTAATCATGCTTTTGATAAGTGTAGCAATTTACTGTTAGAAGATTAAAAGGGCTAAAGTAAATTCTACTCATGTATATGTTAATTAGAATTATATGTGTGTAACACTTTGATATGTTTCACAAACTAAACACCCTATTTGATTCTATTTTATAAAACAAAAGGAAAACAAATTTTTATCTTATTTATAAGTTACATCATTAATTTTTTGTTATAAATTTTCTTTTTTACCCCCATTAATATTGATAAGAGAAAATATGTTATTAAAATATTTATATTTAACAGGCAAAAAATTGAAAAATCATATTAAATTTTTAAATAAAGTGAATGAGTTTTAATATTTTAATTAGTTGGAACATATATAAAGTGACTTATAAATAAGATTGGAGAGATATGATTTTTTTTATGCACTGCCTCATAGGAATAAAATGAACTCCTAGGAGCATTTTAAGGTAAAAAGTTATTAATTGTTTTAAAATTTTGTTAAATATATATTGAAACATATGATTTTATAAAGCACGCATGCCTTTCATTTGAAATAGAGGAGTATATATTTATAATTTGTAAATAATATGGTTTGTTGTATGCTGCATTTTTTTTTTTTGTAATGTTGGAAACTATCATTAATGTGTTAAGTATGTTTTTCACAATTGTATCATAACAAAGAAGATTCGTGTCTATATATGTATGTATGTGCAGGCAAGGAGAATACAAAGGAGAGAGTGTATCGAAGTACAAATCAGAGAAGCGAAAGGAGATAGAAAGAGAAGGATATAGAATATGGGGGAATGTAGGAGATCAATGGAGCGATCTTCAAGGTTACTCTTTAGGGAATCGTACTTTTAAGCTTCCTAATCCGATGTATTTCATCGCTTAATTAATATTACTTACACAGTACTCTAATTAATCTCTAGTTATACCAATTAACAACATCCATTAGATGCTAGCTAACTACTTTGTGCCTCGTATTCCCTAATTATTAGTCAATTAATCTCTCAATGTTGCATGCCGACTAACATGCACTCGTACTCGCATCAGCAGGTGGTGTGTGTAATGCCAATGTAAACTCTCCATTTATTAATCCAAGCCATTTTTTAAGAAAGATTTATATTTCAATTTGTAAGGCATATTACAGAAATTGAAAGTGCAATTAGTGATTTTTACTTGAAATGCCCCTAACACTATATGTTAAATTTATTTTGCCCTCCAATATTTTGCTTCATCAAGACCATAAAATTAGTGATCGATGTCAAATAAAAATAAAATGGGATGTTAACAGCATAAACTGTTTTCTCGATGAATGTACATTAGGTAAAAATGACATACTTCCTCTGGAGTCTGAACTATAATATAAGGCACATTTTAGAAGTTCCTCTAGATTCAAAAATAAGCTAAGGTCCCAAACATTCCTAAACTTATAGTTTAAAAATGAAATTGCTCTTTAGCTTTTAATTATACCCTTATAATATCCAATTTAAGTAATTAATGAGAGTGTTTTGAATAAGTAAAATGTTATATTTATTTCACTCAAGATTATGATGGGAGAGATGTAAAACTTCTTAGAAAATTAAGATTTTAACAACTTTTTTTTTAAATATAAATTAATTAACAATAACTTATATTGTAATTTGGAGAGAGTACCTTAGTAAATAGAAAGAGTGATATCTTTAAATGAGGCTGCTCAATTATGCATACCATTCTTCTTTTTGGTTCTACTACGGAGAGATCTTTTAATTATTATTCATCAATTAATGAATGGCTAAAGAGACTAATTCAAAAGACGTGTGTGTATGTGAGTGATTTTTTTTTTTTTTTTGGGGAATAGGTCAAAGGAGAAGAGTAAGCGTGAGGGAGAACAATACAAAAGGAGAGAAGTTCCAAGAAGAAGCAAGCAATAATAATAAAACAAGAAAAATCCAACATTTATAGATATGAAATAATTAAAGAAAAGGGACTATGATCATATCTATATATAAAATTTGAAAAAAAATAACAAGAGTGGGCATGCACATTTGTTATAACATAAACAAAAAAAAAAAGTGAAATTTCCCGGAAGGGAGGGGCCATGTGGGTTGGAAAGTTTCAAAACAATTGATGATTCATAATAGAGCAGCGGATGGAGCAGTGAGGCAACCATTTTTATTTTCCCAGCAAAGAAAAAGTGCTTCCCTTTGCCGTGTATTTTATATATACATATGTATGTATGTATGTATGTTATATGTCTGAGAGAGAGGGACAGAGACAACACTGATTTTCCCTACTCAATCATTGTGATTGAATGAGTTGGAAATCATACGTTGGAATTACATATCTGACCGATATGGAGATGGGATCAATTATGTCAGAGCAATCAGTGGGTTCAACATTATTTTGATGATAATGAGTTGACCGAACTTAAAAATTAATGTGATCATAATTTTTAATTGAATTCGAAAGAGAGAAATATTATTCTGCCATAATGGTAATTATTTTAATCAATTTATTCCCAACATAATGATATGAATTAATGCTGATTAGATTGTCTTTTTCACACGTGGCCTCCTTTTATTATAAACAAAGATAGGTAGTTAGGATAAAACTCATTCTAAAATGAATAATTCTCTAATTTGTTTTCTCTCTCCCTCTCTTTCTCTCTTCAGTCTATCTCTTATGTATTATAGTTAGGGTAAAACTTTTTGTTTGTCTAGACTAGTTTGCACTTGTTTGGATAGTTACGTAGACTTAATTATGCCCAAATCTAATAGGACTCTTGACACAACTAAATTGACAATTTGAAAAGAAAAAAGAAATTCTAACAACCAAAAAGTTAATGCATGGGTTAAGAATATACTGGAGATGCAGGCATAGAATACATTTTTTTAAAAAAAAAAAAATCAAACCACCTTTTACTTTTTTGTCATTATTTCATTTATTTTTGGTTAAGAATAAATTTGTACGCATTGATAAAATCATGTAGCTACAATATGACAATTACTATATAGGCGAGCGGATTTGGAATACTCATAAAATATAAATCTGGTATAAATAAGATACAATGGTTTTTAAAATGTTGCTATATATAGGCACATGTCATATGTAAGCATATTACATGCATATATAATTTGGCCAACAAAACATACACATATAATTATTCATAATAATAAATATTTAAAAATCTCCCTTCTACTATATTTACCGTCGGAGGTTATTATAGTTCTACGGTAACCATTTGACCAATTTTTTTCAATATTTTATAGTAATTTTCTTAATTATTTATATTAAAAAAAGATTATAAAGGTTTATAATAAGGTGGGTATGTGACTCACAGTGAAAAATGAATGGTGACATCTTCTAAAAGCCTTAATTTAAAATGTTGGGTGTTGAGTAATTTTATAATTGCGTAGATAAGTGTGGTTTAAAATTTGTAAGTAATTTTATTTACTTATCTCCTTTTCATTTTATAAATATTAAAAATTTTAATTTTTCACTCATTTTTAGAAATTGAACTCATTAAAATCTTCTCTCCTTTATATTCAATCATATTGCAACTAAAAATACAGGTATAAAATCAAGTTATAGTATAAAAGCTAAAACAAATCACATGTATGATGTTATTAAAAAAACACTCTTTGCACCTTTCTTTTTTTTAACCATAGTTACTCCTTCCATCCCATATAAAATATTTTTAATCGAATCAACGTAAGTAAATAAAAATTAATTATCTAATTAAAAGTATAATAATATTTTAATTTTATTCCTAATTATTGTAAATAAAAAATAAATATCTTTTTTAAAAGTAAATTAATAAAAAATATTTTTTTCTTTTCAATTTAATAAAGGTATAATGGTTCATTCATTAAAAAATATACTAACAACCTCTTATATTTAGAAAAAAAAAGATTATAGAAAACTTTTTATATATAAGGATAGAGAGTGTATAAAAGAACTGCTGTAGCAAAATGTGCCGTGATGGTATTTTCATAAATAAATAGACTTAATATAACACTTTCTACACCAATTTCACATATGCCTGGTATAAAAAGATCATTCTACTATATTGGTTCAACAAATAAGTGGGGTAGAAATTATAAATTTCTTTAATAAAAATATAAACAATAAAAAGGTCCCCGTTTCTAATTTTCCCTTCTCCCGTCCTAAAAATAAAATGTTTAGAACAACCTACAAATAAAATATTCGTTCCTTCTTTTTAACACGAAATATGTTTGAACAAGAAATGCAAATTTACCATATTATTGTAAACAATTATATGAGACTTTTTTTCCCCCTTATCTTACATTTGGACCCCCAAAAGATTCATATTTTACTGCCAAAATTTCAATGAAGCAGATAGGTGCAAAGTGATATAATAGATAAAGATGTATGTACTGCACAATGAGGATCCAAGAGTTTGATTTTCTGCCAATAGTAGATCAAGACCTTATTACATTTAATATTTGGCCCTATCTTAATTAGGATTATCTCAATGACACTTATAAGTAATAAAAAAATTTCAAAAAAATACTTATGCTTAACCAGCTGGTATCATATCATATAACGGATATGGATATATCTACTTTTTCAAAGTTGGATACTATATGAGCAATAACCCCTTAGAAAATTCAACCTACTCTGTTATTTGATGGCTAATCTAGAATAAGTTACTAGACAATACTTATATACTTAAATTTTTATATATTTAATATATTTTTATCCAATCAAATCAAGATAAATAGATTTTAATGTGTTGATAATATAACAATAATTTATTATAGAATAAAAAATTTATAAGATACACATATTTTGATTTTATTAAAAACAAGCACATTAAATGTATAAGGATAAGTATATAAATTTTTTCCTAAGTTATATTTTATTGTGTTAGGACAAGGATGTCATAGCCTTGTGTTTTACACTAAATTAAGATAGAACTTGAGTACATCACACAGAGCTTAAGAAATAAGTTTATTATTCATGATTTGAATATAAATAATTTTAAATTTGGATCCTTTAACTTCCAAAATTGATTGTATATGATGCATTTAGAGAGATAGATAAATACTTTCTCTGTTTAAAAATATAAGGCATTTTTTAAGAAGTTAAATGTTTAAAACTGTAAGGCATTTTTAGTCTTTTCAGATGTAATCATTGCCTTTTTTCAAAAGTGTCCCTATCAATGAATAACTTTATATTTATTATAGGGTGTTTAATAAGGGTAAATATAAAAAGATATGATTAGTTAGAAAATAGGTAACTACTTTATTAGGGGTAAAATTCGGTTAAGTAAATAAAAAGGTTAAGGAAAATGTAAATATAAAATCTGAACCATACAATTAGTTTGCCTTGTCAATGATTAGTTATCTTAATACCAAAGCACCTCTCTCTTTGAAAAAGATCTTAAGTTTGAATCCAGTTGGCGTGCTTGTGTGCGTATGTGGGTGCATGTGTCTCTCTTTCTTGTGAGAAATGATTAGGTTAGGATTAAACTTTTTGGGGAAAAAAACTATATGCTTGCTTTGATTTAATTTTGCATATATTTTATTATAAAATTGATATATTGGATGATTGTTTACTTTGCAAAATTCAATATTTTTATCCATGAGTATCATACACAAATTATATAAGAGAAACGGATATAATACCTCAATAAAAATTTTCAAAATTTCTCAATTACCATATCACATACTCTCTTCGTTTAAAAATATAAGACGTTTTTAATGAAAATCTAACCTTTCAATAAAAATAGTTATTTATTTTTAAATTAATCATATCTTTTCATACGTACCCTTATTAATACCCTATAATAAATATAAAGTTATTATCAGTATAGACACTTTTGAAAAAAAGACAATGATTACACCTAAGACTAAAAATATATTATATTTTTAAACATTCAACTCCTTAAATTTGATTATAAAAGCAATTTGGGAGGGAGAAAGCCCACTTTAATTAGTGGTGCCTAAAAGGCAGTGATG